GAAAGAGAATATATATAAGTATATAAAATCGTGGGCTGCCCCACATTAAAAACCCAGCAAGGGGATGTCAAGAGCCAGAGATGGGGTGAGGAATGGACTGAAGTTGGGGCTGAGCATGGGGCTGGGGTAGAGGGGGTGAGAGGGTTTGTTGCTTGCGTTGACATATGAAATATGTATTAACGGGTCCAATGCACAGCATACCAAAGTCAAGTGCAGGGCGCGTGTCGCAGGAGGCGGCTAGGGTTGAGGGTTGAGCGGGGGTGCCGAGCTGTAGGGGCATGTGGTAGTAAATGGGCGTGGATCGCGCCCAATTTGCCATCAAGCGTGAAAGCAAATTTTCTTTAACGAGCCAACAACGCGTCAACAGACGCACATGTACATACATATGTATGTATGAGCTGACAGTGTTGCCAGACAGATGAGCGCATCAGCCTTGCCGTGCTGCCACATTGTCATACGGACGCACCGTCTCAACTCGTTGGCTCGCTGCCTGTCTGGTTTGGTTTGGTTTGGCTTGGTTTTTGTATATAAATTAGAGCACATCAAAAAGTTTGTGACATTAAAAGCTGTTATTATGCAGGATGTGTGTGTGTGTGTGTGTGTATGATTGGTGTGCAGATAAATGTTTTAGCCAAATGCTGATGAAAATGAAGATGATGGCAGACTTGTAATGATGACACCCCCTAACCTTCAGCCTTGAACCTGCGAGCCCCTAACACCCACACACCCACACACCCACACACCCACACACACACACACACACACCCACACACACACAGTGCCCACACGTTTCTCACGCATCGCATAGTTCCACGTTCCACGCTTCCACGCGCACTCAAATCCTGAATACGGCAGTCAAAAAGGCGGAGGCGTGGCTGTAGCAGAAGGGGCAAATTCAACGTAGAGGGCGCCACGAGTCGCTTGATTAAATGTGCTTTGCATGCGTGTGCGCAAATGCAATGGCAGGCAGTCAAAAAGGCGATTACATGCACACACACATACACACACACAC